TAAGAAAATATATTTGTAGAGAGTTTAACTTGGCGACATTAAGTATACGTCCTGTTGCCTGTCAAAACGAGCCACACGTGCCGCAAAAGCCATTAATTAATCTTAATTGTTGCGCTTAACATTTTTATGACGTGCCAATGAAACGAGCCAAACAGAATTATTGCTGACAAATGTCAAACACTCAAACAGTCTTGAAAGCCGAAATTTATGTTCGCGAATCATTAAATTCATGCAAAATCGAACTGAACAATGAACAGGCTTTGTGTCTATCCTCTACCCACGATCCAATTAGCCGGCACAATGGAATACAAAAGGTTAACAATAAAATCGGAAATATTCCAACAGACAGCTGAGATCTGAAACACTATCCCGGCTTTTTCGATATGCATAGATCCATGGCGGTCTATTAATTAGTGACGCACGACCTGTATCAATCACATTCGAGTTTTATGTCTTCGGGAGATCTGGTTTCGCCTTGTGGGCCTGACAATCAAAATTTTATTAATGCTTTAGGCATTCAGACGTTTAGCTACTTATATTGTTGATTTATTTAAGTTTAGCTGAGAAGCGGAACGGAAAACAAAGGATTTTATGTCTATTCTTCGGTAGAGAAGTATAAAAACAAGATCATTTGGAGCAGACTTTTTTAATAGCCCTCTGTTTTATTTTATTTGTAGTTTAACTGATTTGATCATTATTTTAACTACCGAAACGAGATTAGAATTTGGCATTAGTTATAAGGTAGATTTTAAATTATAAAATATTGTAATAAATACTTTAAGTAATGTGGTTTTCACTGAAATATTTAAAAAAATTACAAATTTAATTATATTTATATATTTATTACAATCAAAATATTTTAACAATTCCCAAAAGACTCCGAATTTTCGAAAGTAAACATCTTCTTCTGATGGATGCTTCTCAGAATAAATCCGTTGAGATTAGCCGAAGACTCGAGGATGATTATTTGATTGTCTCAGTAGAAATGGAAGCCAGACAATGTCTGTTTCGAAGTCTGGACCCATCAATTTGTTTGTGTGGTTCCGGGTCGTTGTTTTATGTCTGCCATTTCGCCATGTTATTGAATTCCTGCTATCGAGAAGTCATAATTTATCACACGTGTGCCTCATTTAATGTCTTCGACTTTTATTTGCTTTCTTCGCCTGCCATCGTCAATTTTTATTGCCATTTTCGTGGTCTTCAATTTGGCTACCGAAATTTCATCATCTATTTATGGAGAATGCTAATTTTTGTTTTTCGTCTAGGCCCCGTATACCAAGTGCGAAAAAAGTCGGTAAAAGAGCTGTCACTTTGTTTCTGTGCTCGCAATTTCCCCCCCGAATGTTAGCAAGCCCACTTTTGGCACGTTTTTGCCCGTATCTAAATACAATTATGACGCATTTTGATTGCCTTTTTGGCTGGTTTTTAGTTTGTTTAGTTGCTGTTGTCACTGTTGCTGTCTGACTTTTAGGCGCATGTGGTGAGATAAGAGGGAAAATTAGCACTTTGATGACTTGCCATGGGCCAACATGAGCACTTGTGCACTGGCAATAAAAAGCAAAAACAAAACAGTAAAATACCCTACAAATGTATCAGCTTTATTATGTTTTTAGTACCTTTATAGTAGTTTTTGATTACAATATATACATTGTTTCTTGAAAATATAACCTTAAGTACATAAACACGTTCCTCTCATTAAGTCCCCGAATCAAAATTTATTTTTGATCAAATAGTGATCGTACCCTTCTTCAAAACAGAGATAGAGAACAAAGCTAATAAATACGAAAATCTCAAGCAAACATAGTCCGTGTAAACAATAATTGTAAGAAACAGTCATAAAGTAAACATGCTGCGGAAAGTTTTATTCGTGTATATAGATGAGAATTCTGTTTGCTGGCGGCGTCTTTAAAATGTGCGGCGCGTGTAAAGTTGTGAGATAAGGTCAAAAACAAATGGAATTCCCCATTGAGATTACACCAGAACAGAGGCCACGGGCGTGACTGCAATTAGAAAGGAAAGGGAAATTTAATACATTGTAATAGTCTAATAAAATATCAAGTATACGCCCCGAAGGACAGCCAATATTATTACCTGTAGTCACACGCGTTTTTAAGCGGAGCTCACGTAAATAAAAGAGAAATCATTTGGGTTATGAATATTTCAAGTACCCTTTTGGCTAATGCAGCAGCTGGAAGATGATGGAAGTAAGCATTTAGAAAAATGAGACCCCAGTGCAATTTAAGACGCTTCCCTTAAGTTCACACAACAGACAGAATCGTCGGTGATAGCCCAGAGATATAAGTGACTTATGGTTATAGGTACACATAAAAATGTTTAAGCCCCATAACTGATTCATAAATTCAATAACATGATTACAACATATTTTTTTTTCAATTTTATTACTTTTTTTTAATATTTAAATGTCTTTCTTGACCAAAAATATTTTTTAAGGTCCTGAAAATATTTTTTTTAATACTCCGGACTGGAATACTTCTTTTAATTTGTTGACTGAATTTCGGTGTATTTTTTTCTGTGTACCCTTGTTTGTTTTGAAGTCTGAGGGTGTGCTGCTTCTCATGTGAACAATGAGGGCATTGTGTGGCCCGCAGCGTTTAGCGTTACGCATGACAAATAAATTTCAAGCTGGCAACGCCTTTGCAGACGGGCACGCACGTTCCTGTAAAAAATAAAAAGCGAGTTCCCTGAACTCTAATTTCTTGTCGGATACACGTTGACAATATTTGGCTGGCTCTTGTCTCTCTGATGTGGCCGCCGGTCACAACAGTCTGCCGCAACAATGCCCCAGCAATTTCCAGCCGAAAAAAGGAAAAGATACCCCGCCAAGAAAAGAGAAAATCAAATTTCCCTTCCGTTCTGGTGGCGTGTGAAAAGTCATTGGCATAAGCAGATTCCTTTGTTTAGTTTTTTGTTTTTACTTCTTGTCTTGACAGCTGACAAGTGTGCGTGAGTTTTTATTTGGAGTTTCTTGGGTTTTTTCATTGAGGCGTGTCATGTTGAGCAATTATTGGCTAATTTGTAGGCTCGCAGCGGGAAGTCTCATCAAAGTTGCTTGATTGACTTGACCTCCGACTTGCAGGTGGCAGATCTACAGGTGTCTGCGGTGAAACGTGTCTCAAATTGTTGCCCAATCTCCGTTTGAGCCTTAAATCTGCTCAACGCTTTAAGCGCTCTACACTTCCTTGGCTTTTATCCCTGGCTTTTTGGCCCAGGAAGATGTCCTTTTCCTTCCTAACCCCTCTCATGCCCATTTTTCGCTTTAGGCCCGCACGCGCCGCATTAAATTTGCCACTGGGGCAATTCGTTGAGGCTTAGTATTTGTTACGCACATTTCGGTCTTTTGTTACAGACATTTCCCAGTCTCCGTTTTAGGGACAAATGGGCTCGATAGGTGCACTGAGACCACGTACTTACTACTTAAATAATAAAATTGATAAGTAACTTAAATTATAGATTGTTTTTAAATACGCAAAGAAAAAAGTTCCTCTCAGAAATATTTATTTTATTCAATGTTTTTAATATTTGTATTTATTTTTGATAGATAAATATTAAAATGAAGTAACAAAATCCATTTGGCTATTTCCGAAATCTTTCACATTTAAATAAATCTAGATTCTCAAGAATTCGCTAGATCCTTTAATTAAAAAATCATTGCCTACTTTTAGGCACAGATGTAAACCTTTTAAAAGCTTCTTCTGAGACCTCCCTTTTCCCTCAGTGATTTGAGCAATAGCCTCGCCTCGAATCAGCCTTCCTGGGCTTTAACTATCGGATGACGGATAAGGCATAAATAATGAAAAGTAATTTCAGCGAAATATTGGCGCATTGACATCGACCTGAAACCGACAGACTGAGTGGTTTAGGGGCTGAGGGCCTGGGGAAAGCGTCTTAACCGCCCCACAAGTATTTTAAATGCTGCGGACAGGGGCAGGGGGAACAGGGGTCTGTGGTCTGAGGACAGGTTGGTTGGTAAAATGCCGTCAAGGGCCCCAAACATTTCATCATCTTCGCGAGCGCTTTTACCAAATGTAATTACACTCAAGAGATACACGTGCCGCCAACAGCCGGTCGTTTTTGGGGGGTTTTCAATTTGAATTTGACTGCCGACAGGCGGGGCTCATCCCCTCATCGCCCCTCAACCCCGGCCAAAAAACACTTGAGCAATTTCGCCTGCCTTGCCATCAATATTCCGGCCACCCCCGCAGCAAAAACTGACTTTAAGTTTGTTTACCTTTGCCGGTGGCCGTCGATGTGGATGTGGATGGTCGTTAGCCAGGATTTGGAACCCACCTAATGAGCTTCGGCTGGCGGGTGCGTCATCTTAAATTCCGTTTCGATGTCAACTTGGAGATTGGAAACGAGGCTTGGACCTGGGACTCTGAACTTTGGACCTTCGGAGGCCACGCGTTTATTGTTTGCCAAGCTTGATTTATGTAGTTTTAATGGATTAAGTCTGCCTGATATGGGAGAAAACGATTATTGGGTGAATTGGATTTAGTGGGGATTGAATAAATAATAGTCTGGGCTTGACAAAAAGGCGACTAAGAAGTCTGAAACTTATTAAATCTGGAACAAATTCCCGAAAAGCATTACTTTAAGTCATTTTTTGAGGACTTTGCCCCTCTTATCTTTTGGAATTTCCACCACGCCCATTGTTAAAGCAAACTTCCGGTTCCAGTTCTTATCGCCATCGAAATAAAAGCAAATTTACGACCCGTCATATCCTGCCCCTTGCTTAATGCCCCACAAAAATGTATACAATATTCTGCAAGGGAATCACTGCAAGTGGCGGACAACAATCAAATTGCTTAAAGTTAAATGAACTCGAAAGAATTCGTCTTATTTTCGCTCGATTATTTATTTTTATGTTCTTTGCCGTCTGGCGCGTGCAGTGCGGCAGCTTAATTATCCACTAAAACGTTTAATCAATTAATCAATGCGGCGACTAATTAATTTGTGCTTTTGCTTACATTTGCTTTCAGTGTGAATAGACGCTGCCAGAAGAGAAAGACTCGCCAGAAGATGGCGCCCACCATATGTTCGGAGAAGAAGCAGCTGCGCGAAACGAGGCGACATCATGGCGTGGCCACAGCCGCCATATCATCCTCCTCGTCCTCAACCGCAGCCACCACATCCTCGTCCTCATCCTCATCCACGGGATCCACATCTGCAACCGCAGCCACACAAGCCAGCTCGGTGCTCAACTATGGTGAGTAAGCAATGGGATTACGCAGTCAGGTGCAGATAGGGAAATAGTGTAGGTACATCTCAAGGATGTGGGAATTTTGAATTGTTTTGGTGTTTAATATATACAACAGTTCCACAAAAAGGCCTTGAGTTTTGAAATTACTTATAAAGGTGTCTAAAAGTATGCCAAAATATTTAGTAATCAAAAAGTTGCATAGTCACTGCATACTTTTGGGCACCTTTAAAAAGTTTGAGCTTTGAAATAAGTGTCTAAAAGTATGCTACAATATTTTTTAACCGAAAAGTGAATGCTTTCAGTAAAAAATACGGCATTGCTATGTCACTGAATACATTTAGGAATCTTTTAAAAAGTGTTCCTTTTTAAATCACTTATGTATAAGGGCATCTAAAAGTATGCTACATTATGTTATCAGTACAAAGGTTCCTTAGTTCCTCTAAGGAGTGACATTCATTTTTCACTGCATAATTTTAGACACCTTTATAAAAGATTTTTAAACCATAGTGATTTCCACTGCACCCCTTAGGAAAATAAAATCCCATTTTGCTCAGTGTCACTTGAATGTGGAGGGCGCACGCGGCGTATACGTAACACTGCCTTACATATTCATTGCAATCTCCGCCTTGTCTCTTTTTTTCGATGCCCCTTGTAGTCAGAATCCCCTGCTGATTTGCTGATGTCGCTGCTGTTGTTGCTAGTCCATTTCCCAGTTTTCCGGTTGCCGAGTCGCCCAGTTGCTCACGTTACTCGGTCATGTTTAATTAATTTATGTAAACTCGGCCACCCACCTCTGTTCTCTGTTCTGTGAGCTCCGTCCTCGTTTGCCACTTCCTCATTGCCATATTATATATCTCGTACATATCGTATGTGGGGTTCGACTGGAGAATATTCGAATGCACGTGCCCCGGGGCGATGGGCTCGCATTGGGTTCTTCACGTGTTGGCCTCCGGTGTTTTATTGCTGCTAATGCTGCCGATGTTGCCCCATGGAAGGCACGCGAGTTCGGGGTTATGCCACAACGATTTGCGTCAGCAATTGGCTCCAGCTGCTCTTCCGCCTGCGTTGGCTGTTGGGTAAGACAGAGACTCGGCTGGCAAATCTGGCCGGCGCATTTATATAAGCGATCTAATGCCGCATGACTGCCACCGAAATGGATATGGGTTGGGTAAGGGTTGGTTTTCAGCAGCACTCGCAGTGAGGAAGTCAATTTTTCAAGTATCTGGAAATAGAATATTCCTTATTGGGTTTGTTATGTAAGAACACTTATCTGTATTTTTTATTCGACATTTAAAAAATGTAACCAATAGGTAAAGCAATCGAATGATCCAATTCAAGGTGCATACTGTAGACACAAAATAAATAACATAAATTCAGACTGGTTTATTTTACAAAAAAAGATTTAAGGCTACATGTCTGGAATAAAATGAATTAAATTAAGTGAAATGCATTTTATTATTTACGTGACAATATAACTATTCAGATATGCAATCGAATTTCATTTGGGATTTTTTCCAAGATTTACAAGATCACCTGAGTGCCCAAAAACAATAAGTATTTTTTTAAAGATTTTTTACCCAACTCCAGGCAATAATCAGCTCGAAGTACATATAGTTCGTAGGTAGTGTTCCCATTATTAAGTACCTGATAAAGAAGAATCCAATTAATTAGTGGAACATATTTGCAGAGTTTACAGTTCTTAAAGACCTGCCTTCTTAGAAATTTTCACACAGCCCAGCCAAATGATGCTCAATGATTACTCATTAGTCAAGTGAAATTGCACGAACATTTACCTAGATATTTTTCCAAGAAATATTTCACAAGCACACGAAACCAGGGGCGTCGTTCAAAAGGGGGTGCAAGGGGGCTTCCACATAAGTGTGTGTCATAACCTCCAGCGTTGTTTTCGCTGCTGTGCCACTTTTGCCGGGGCTTTATTTACATGTTTTGCACATTTGCTCCGCTTGCTTTTAGCCAAGTTTGCTGTTTTTTCCCTCTTTTTCTTTCTGCTGCTGACTTTATTGGTGCCATTTTCAATGTGAATTCATTGAAAGCAGCGCTGTTGTTGCCTTTTTATTTGTGCTCGTTGCTGCCTGCTAATTTGCAGCAACACATAAAAATAAACCGAAGAAATACCCCGACACACGTCTAAAATAAAAATGGGTGTGACGAGGCCACGTGCGAAAGCCTCTTGACTTGATTTCCCCCTTTTCAGCCATCCCCTTTTGACTGCTTCCCCGGGGAGGCGGCCTCTGAAAAGGGCGTGGCCCCGAGGGAGGGGGGTGCTGGAATGTTGGCCATTGCCCTCGCCCTCTGCCTTTATTTTAGGGTATTTAAAATTTTATTTTCAAGCATCACCGGTGACTAATTCACCGAGAACGAAACGAGGCACGTGCAATCGGGCAGCGATGACGAGGCCACAAACGACTCAGTGAAAAAATCATCTTAACTCGAAAAAACACTCGAGAAAAATTCAGAATTGTTACATTAAGACAACTGACACCGAAATATATCAAATTATTTGGAAAAGATATTCCTACAATTTTTGGTTCACTCTGGTTTCACATTGTAACTCACAATTGAAAACTTTTAAGGCCCAAGTTATTTCAAGAATACTTACCCCCATGGTCATGGGTTATTTTAAGAATTCGCTTACTAGTTTTGTTTCGATAACTTACAGATGGTATTTTTGCCTCGGTGTAGCAACTGCGAAAAGCAATTCCAAGTCAAAACAACAGTCACCGAGTTAGATAAGCGCAGTTGAATACATGTGCTTTGTTTTGGCAGGGAAAGATATATGTGGATTGAATAATCATTGGAACCAGAGGGAGAACTTCCTTGTGTAAGATGAATGCACATTTCAGGAACATGCGTTTTAAGGAAGGCCTTTTTAAGCTCAACAGGGCGTATTATTAATATTGTATTGGAATACAAATAACAAAATTAAATAAAGTGAAAACTGGGATTTAAAAATTTCATATAAAAGTGTTTGAAAGTATTAAACAATATATATACTCATTCCGAAAAACGAAATCCCTATCTCACTGCATATAAAATCACATTTGTTTTATATTTTAAAATCATACCTTAGTAGGTTTTTTGTTCTTAAGTAATTCACATCAAATTTAATTCACCGAACGATTCTAAAATTAAGGTTCAATAATGGAACTTGAACTAGCAAATATAAAAAGTTTGGAGGGTCTCCAAGACTGCGCCAAGTTGCCATTAGACGAGATTGACCCCATATCCCGGACTTCAAGATGCGATAGGACTCTTCACGAGATCTTCCACGTCGATGAGGAAGTCAGCTTTTCGCAAGATGAAGAGGAGGAAATGGAAATTGATTTAGAGCTCAATGAAGATGTAACAGACGACGAAGATCGGGTAGAAAAGATGGTTAGCGATATTGATTGTCTGATTCAAAAGATCGAATTAATGCAAATGGCGATTAGGAGTCGTCAGGTAAAGGAAAGTAGCGATAAGGTCAGCGAAGAATCGGTAGAACTACCCACGGAAAACTTAACCAAGTCTCAAATAAAGTGCGAGGAGCTGGAAAATCAGAAAAAGGAATCTGAATTAAAGGAAAAATCCGCAACCAAAGAATCCAAGTTCCAACCGCTGAGCGAACAGGAATTTCTGGAAGCCAGAAACCTTCGTCAAGCCCATCATGTCCTCCAAAAACAAATAGACGAACTGATCTGCAGATATCGAAAGTTCCGGGAAATTATCCAACAACTACGTGGAAATATTGACTGTATGGAAAGAAATCTTACAGATCTGAATTCTAAGGCCGAGGATCACCTGTCTTGGGCCCAAGAAGTGGCCAAGGAGATAAATGTCTGCAAGGAGCGATATACACATCTTATTCAGTCCAAAATGTCCAAAAAGGAGGCGATTAAAACTGAAAAGGTACATGCCACCCGATTTGCCAAGTTTAATACAGCGTATCTAAAAAAAAATCGCCTGAAATGCGAAATACTCGAGTTCTGTGAGGAGGTGAACGACCTTGTGGTCCTGATGAGTGAGTTGCAACAAGAACTGAAGCGAAATATGAGTATATTTGAAGAACAACGCATAAGTAAGCTGGAAGGTGCCACTGAATTTTTTATATCTATTGACGAGGCTTCTAAACTGAATAATGAGTTTCTGGCATCTGGAATGAAGCTAAAAACCGACGAAAATAGCAAGAAATAATTACTTTTCTGTGAAAGAATATCTTACATAGACGAAAAATATAAAATTGTTCATTCAGTAGTTAATCATGTATAGTTAGACAGACGAAGAGAATCGACTAATTGCCATTAATGACTAATGCTATTAAGCATATGAAAAGCTAATTAGTGTTGATGGTTAATCAATCAGAATAAATTCCTTAAAAATTGGTTTTCTTTCCTAGGAAATCGTCATAATACGTCACTGATTTTCTTCTATATTCCCTTTCCATTTCCTCTGGGGGCGTCATCAATTAGCCGTCGCCTTCGTGGAAACACTCACGTTTCCCTGCACTGGGTTCGGGTGTCGCGTAAGCTCTATTTCCCAACTGGTGAATGATTCCGTTCCGTTCCATTACGAGTGATTCCAGGGTGTGCCGTGCCATGTGCAGCGCTTACTTCCAGGCGACGCGTCACGACCCTGACCATAGACACACTTGATTCCAAGTTGGTTTCTCGCGGGAAATGTGAGCTTATAGTTATACAGGGGTGCACTCGGAAAAATAAACGGAGAGCTACAAAAGCTTTAGTGCCCTACAATTTCCTAAGAAAAATAATATTTTTAATATATTTTAAACAAATAGTATCTTATATAAATATTAAAAAAAAAAGATTAACCAATCCATTTATGATATATTATCCTTATAGTGTGAATAATTTGTAGAAAAATGGTCTTAAAATAGACCCAATTTCTTTTTTTCAAATTTTGTTTACCAAATCCATAGTCCATTTATTTTTATACATATATATTTCATTGTGTTTTGCTTTTCGTGACTCCCAACAGCTGATGGTTGCAAATGAGCGTGGCGAAAGCGTTGCGACTGCGAACTGATGCGAATCGCTTAACCCTGGTGCTGGTCACGTTTTTTGCCCACACGCGATGACCGCATTTACATACCAGAAACCCACACAGAGGCACTCGGCCCATGGGCTATATAGCATATATAGGTTGAGACATCGGTTGACAACCGACTGATAAGCTGACCATTCGACCACACAACTGCACTGTGGGCTTTGAATAGTGCTGGGCTTTTATTTTTTTTATTTAGATCAGGAAATGTTATTCATAGACCTCATTTTTTATACCTTTAATCGGCTCTCAATCACTTTCAACCGCTTACATGCAATTATTCATTTACAAAGTATCACAAGGTGTGGTTGAGTTTGTATTAATTGTATGCAGGTTATTAATTGCACTTTGCGCAATATAATAATTTTTTCAAGGGAATAGGTTGTTTTCATAATGAAAGTACATTTGTTTTTAATTATTAAGTTTGTACATATTTACACTGATAAAATACCGTGGTATATTTATACATTTTAAATTCAATTTCAATATTTTCTGCTACAACTTTCACTAAATAGTACAAATTATGGTTTATGCTTAGATTTTAAGTATTGACATTATACATTATACAATTTTATTTTCAAGAGTTCTAATTTTTTCTACCTTTATTGGAATACTAACTTACTTTCTTAATATAAAGTTATGCAATTTGAATTTGTATTGTTAGTAATTATATGTTTTTGTGTATTATTTCTTATAAAATACGACATTTTACTCAATATACAGATATTTATTTCCACTATTTATTTATTTATCAGTGAGTGTAGATTCTAAAGATATACTTGGGAGGTTACCACAATGGTTTATAACATTTTAACTTACTTTTAAAGGACTTTGAGTCACTGTAACCTCTTCAGCTTTTCCTTTGTTCTCGACTAACTTTGTTCTTTGTTGCCCCTCTTTTGCTTGCAGTGGCCAAGGGTTCGATGAACTCCTCGAGTCGCCGTCGCCCGGTGAGAATGCAGCGCAGGATGCCGCACATCCTGGCCCGCGTGGCCTCCTTCTCCACGGACACGAGCAGCGGGGTGGAGACGGAGGTGGAGATGGACTCCGACCAGCGGATGCAGGGCGACGAGGACAGCTACTCGGATGCCAGGATCCAGATGCTGCAACAGCAGCAACAGCCACATTCCAGCAGCGACAACAACATCAAGACAGTATTACAGCCGACGATGGCAGGTGGATATAGCAGCAAACACAACCGGTCGGCGGGGCAGGCCAAGAACTGTGATCAGAACGTGGTGCCACTGCAGGTGGTGGTGGACGACGACGACGACGGCGACAGTGGGTACGAGTACAGTCAGGACCCGATAAAGGAGCAGCACCTGTACCACCAGAACAGCGAGGGCCTTCTTTCCATTGCCATCAAGACCATCAAGCTGGTGCAGCGCAACAAGCTGCTGCAGAAGCGACTGGCCCAGCTGCAGCTGGAGACCTCGGAGTTCATTGCCTCGGTGCTGGCCAACCCGGAAAACCGCCAATTCCGGGAGAAAATCTCGCCCAAGGCCGAGGCCAAGGTCAGCAACATGCTGCTGCGCCACTAGAAGGGCGCTTTTCTCTTTGATCTGGAAAAATCAAAACCATTCAGCCCCATTTCTGGACGTGGCAGAGAGGGTTTAGCTTAGAAAATTTATTTACTTTCATCTATAATTTTATTTTATTTATTAATTTACCAAAATAAGCCAGATGTAAAAAAAGGAAAACTTACTTGGCAACATGTTGCTGCAACATTGCTAAGGCACATTCAAATAATGTTGCCTACTTCTGTGCTGCGTATGTAAAATTCAAATCTACATAGAAAATGCATGTAAAATGAATGAATGAAAATTAATTAACATGAATTAAACATTGTTTTTATTCCCTTTTCAAGTAAATTTAATAAATATATTTTCACACGTCCAGGAAACCCATTTTTGGTGGCTTAGTTTTGAAGAATTCGTACTGATTAAATTTACAACAAAAATGCATCAAAGTTTAACAATATAAATTTATACAACATAAAAGCGCTATGCTTACATTTACAAAAACAAAAATATTTATATGAATCCAAAAAGTCCAAAAGTGTATCTGTAGTCGTTAAGTACATTCTATGTTTTACAGTTTCTACACTCAAGAATTAATTTATAATAAATATACCTAATACATATATCTAGAAACAAAAACCAGGCATAATCAATGGAACCCTACGACGCTTTTCGCTTTATACAACAAATAGTTATAGAGAAAGTTAATTGACATGCAAAGCAATTGATTTAAACAAAAAATACGTAAATGATTTTCGGTATTACTAAATTAGCCGATATATTTCAAAGAGTATGCCTAAGTATATGGAAACTATCAAAAAGCTAGCAAGCAATGCAAATCAAAGCAAAACCAAATTACAAGCTAACTAGAAGCAAAAATCTTTCCAATCCTAAAACTTTTAATCAACTCAACTTAACTGGCATTCTCCACATACTTAAAAGGATATCAAATCATCAAACTCGCCACAAAAAAGATTTCATCAATAAAATTAGTGACAAATTAAACATACTTTGGCTTCTTTCTCTGGGGTTCCTTGACTGGTACGCAACCCGTGGTAAAGTAAACAAGTCATGGCTAAGTGAGTACTTCGTTCGTGTCAATAACACCCAATCAAAGCGTTCAAAGACCGTCTCGGTCTGAACAGATTTGACATGGAGTCTGTCATGAACTCGGTCACGATATGGGATGTTCTGAAAAACGCCAGCCAAGAGGTAGGTAAAATGTGAAAAATTGTTAGAAGATGTTTGAAAATGATGCATCATGGTCATAGAAATAGTAAAGTAAACTTCTATATTACAAATATTTAAAATTTTAATATTACTACTATTTAAATATTGACTCATGCACCATTATAATTTTGTATTTTACATTTTATAAGAACGGTTTTAAGTAGGAAGTATGATTTAATATTATTGTACAAAATTTTATTATTTTAAAGTGGCATAATAAAAAAGAATCTTTTTTAAAATTTTTTCTGTATTTTGTCCCAGAATCAATTTCTTGTATAAGATATTGTAGGTTTTCGGAACACCCCACTGATTGTGTGCGGCTGTAATGCATATCCACACAATACCCAGAAAATTATTCAGCAATTGTTTCAAGTTCATTCAATTAAGTCGGTCCTCCTTAGCCTGGCTTAGACCTTTTGAGTGTCATTTGGCGATGGGATTTCGAGTTCGATCATAATGATGGTGGTACACCCATGTCTGCACGTCGCCCAAGTCTCCTCTTGGCTTTTATTTTTCAATTTTGGCCACACACTTGACACTCGAAGTACTCGGCTCGGTTTCAGCCCATCATAATTTTACCAAAGCTCTTGTGACGTTGGTCAATCATCGCAGTGCGTTTATGGCGTTGTGGGGCTCCATTACCAGGGGGTCTGTTATTATTGTTAGTTTACAGGCATTATATTGTTTTATTGGGTTTTTTACGCACTCTGGTCACGTCTTCATCTGTTCGAGACACGTGATTTATGGGCTCTGGAACTGGGCGACCCGGCCCTCTTGACACTGAAGAGTTTTTATTACCCGCCCGGCAAACGGTGCAGAAACCGTTGATTTGTGTTTATTTTGATGCCGTGATTTGGATTCGTATGCGGTAATTTGTATTATTTGATATATATTCGTTTGTTTTCTTTGGCTGCCGAGCGCTAAATCGCCAGCATTTGTGTAGCAAATCAGATCGCTTACCTTGGCAAGGTCGTCCATCAAGTGTTTCGGGGAGTGTTTGCCCAAGCGATTACAATTTTTAATATTAACAGTGAGTCACATGAAGTGGATGGCCTATAAATAACATCAGTTAAAATGCATTTGCGTTATTTGTTAGCTTGAGCCAATTTTTACACTAAGCGCCTGGCATTGGAAACTATTTGAGCTTGCTAATTTGCAATTCGAGTATGTAGAATGTACTCATATTCGAGAGCAAACATTTTATACTGTGCTAATTATGAGAAGGTTTTTTAGAATCTACAGATATATAATGTCTTTGAGTCAAATTATAAGAATTCTTTTAATATTGCTTGATTTTTTATAATTTTATAAAATCCTTTCATCCATTTTCTGACTCCATTTAGTTGCACAATTTTTGCAGTCTCATTTTTTGCTTAAGGGTATCTATTACTTTTGGGAAAAACCAGACAAGCGATTATCCATTTTTTGCTTTGTTTAGCAGTTAAAATTTAATTAGCAAGGCTCATTGTTTCCAGCCTTTGATCTTTAATCAATTATCAGGTCTCGAATAGAGTGGGCTGAGCACTTTGTGGAGTGTGTGCTTTTTAGTACTCCATAGACAGGCCTTTTTACTGTTGCCAAGTCATGCCAAATGAGTATGCATAAAATCCAAGCAAATATCAAATAAAGCAATGCAAAATGCATACAAGCCGATTTGTTGGGATTGTGGCTATTAAAAGAAACACAGCATGTTTGTGGTACTCAAGGTCACTTCTTCTATTTCGCGATTCACCGAAATCGCCAAAAATTAGAGAAAAAATGTGTGTTGTGAAAGTATCTGCGAAATCGGGCGAGCTGGAGCCGAAAAATGTGTTCAGTTGCCCATTAAAGAAACCATTTGGCTGTTGTTCGTATGCAAATGAGTCTGGGTCAAGCGAAACCCGCTGAATACCATCTTCATGACCAGCGAAGCGGGCTCATCGTGTAACCCATCTGGTAAGGTCATCTGTGAAGCCGGAAAATCGTATCTCCAAAATGTGACATTGACATTGAATTCACCAGCAGTCCAGTGACTCTGGTTCCATTATTGTAGTTCCAATAATAATTCAAAAATCGAAGACGGTAAACAGCGGAAGCACTTTAATTCACCCACTTGATCTTTCGCACCTCGGCGCTAATAAGTCGGCGACAAATCGCTGATCACCGACTTGTCCAGCATGATTAGGCTGACGATCTGCGATTTTTACCAGTGCTAATCAACATGCAGCAAATTCCCCAAAAATAGCTCGTAAAATGGGCAAACAAAATTGGCAAGTTCACCTGATGAACTTGAAAAAAGATGGTCCATCGGGGAGCTCGCACAAATGTATCTCGTATCTTGCAGCTTGTATCTTTCTTTCGTGATCGCTCGAACGTAGCCCGGCAGCTACCTGTGTTGTTAACGCAGTTTTTTTACTATGTTCGTAGGTATTTTTTGTGTGTGATCTCGCATAGGCTTCAACGTTGCAGGTCGGGCTAAAAAGTTTCATTTAAGCGCCGGACATCAGCGGGCGCGCATGCGCCTTCGTTATTCGTATTCGTCAGATAAATCGGTGATTCGATACTCGATCTGAAGTATTTTTCCATATTCGTGGCCCATTTTTATTCGGAGCATTTCGTAAGTGCATTCTGTAGCCAATAATTTTGCATGGAATTTTGCATTGGCAAACATGTTTAGAATTTCACAAGAGAATTTGTGACAATTTGTGCCCAAACGTGCGAGTGAATGTGTTCGAATCTGGTCTGTTGACGTAAACTCTAAAAACAATTAGCAGGTAGTTGCACTTACCGAGAACTAGTCATACCACAAAAAATGCAGTTCTGCGGTTTTTTGGCTAATGAAATGCATCTGTGTTGGGGCTTTCAGTGGAATTAATAGTGCATTTATGGAAATAAGAAAGATCCTTGGAAATATTTAACATTCCTTATACACCTACTTAATTATAGCAATCCAATTGATTTTATTTTCATCTCATAATGAATCTTTTTTTATTATTTATAAAATTCTTTGGTATTCCAAATTGTTTTTCAATACATTGGTAGTACCTATTTCATACAATAGATGTCATATATCATCTGTAAAGTCTTTAATTGGATTGCTATTAACAATTTGTTAACTCTAAAGTCTTATGTGCAATCTATGGGATTATTATCGCCTTTATTAGCCAGATGATATTTCTTGACCAACCCAACCGCAATGTGTTAATCCCTGTTAATGGCCACTCTATTACCCATGAGCACAATTAAGTTTCAAATCAGATTAATCAAATCCCATGTTATAGTTATCGAGATCTTCGGGCGTCAAGTCTAAGCCAATTAAGCTCAGTTTAATGACCCGCATTGATTGGCTTTGAGTTGATAGCCAGAACGATAATGGATTCAACGCCCTTCGGGAAGCGGGCCCAAGAGTGAAACCGGCTTTACATGGTTCTGTAATCTTCGTGGCCGATCGAGTGGATCCATTCACAAGGCCAAGGTCATAGATATAGAACTCAACTGGCCGAAGACAAAGGCTAGCTATTTCTTTCTTATAGAGTGCGTGAAGCCATCGTTGAACCAGTTTCAGCTTGGCTTTTGTATCGATCCATTCAACTACTCGCCGGCTTTATTGAGGTTAATTGAAATGATTTATTAACATTTGTGCAATTTTCGATTGGCTCTCCAAAAAAAACCCCAAATTGAGATAATTTGCATAAAAATACATTCGGCGCCCACAACTTAAAGTAATTTAATTTCAACTTTTATTTTTTTGAGGATTTCTTATTTTTGGTTATTTTTTGGACATCCGTGTGCGGTTTATGGGTCAACGCTTAAATATTTGCTGCGTCTCCGCGATCGATTTATTTTGATTTTATTTGCAATGTTTGCTTTGATTTGGTTTCTTCTTCATCTTGGTTTTGTTTTGACCACCGAACCGGTTCGCTAGCATTAACTTAATTTCGCTCCTTTTGCAAAGTCATTATTTTTATTGGCACTTTTGAGTTTTTCGTTTTCTTGTAACCCCAAAACCCGTTGAACTTGAGCTCAAAACGCGTTTGGGATGAAGTGATGTCGATATCGCTCAGAACTTAAGAAAATAAAAGTGGGAAAAAAGTGAAATCGTTCTCAAGGTCGATGCAATTTACATGCAGCTGATAATTGAGAGTTCTGGATGCTTCAGAACATTTTGTTCTTTCATTTTTTGCTAAAAAGCATTTCTGTGTAGAAGTTCCTAACGCCACACTGCCTGTTTATAAAAAAATGTCATAAATAATGGTCGTGAATGTGTAGAAACATAAATTAAGCAAATAGGTTTTACAAAAAGCGGTATTTTGACACTTTAATAGCACGCAAAAAATAACTATTATATTTAACAAGGCTGTGTTTTATTTTAATAACAATAGCAATTAGCATTAACAATTAGTGGTAAGCCAACTAAAATTAGATTTATTAATATAGTGTTAAATTTAGAGTCTCTCTCTTAATTAGTATATTAAATGCTATTTTATACTTTACAGACTAAGCCAAGATGAGATTCAGTGGAGTACTGCTTCTCTGCCTGTCTTCCTTTCAATCTTCCTGGTCACAACTTCTGGTGGATTGGGCCCGTGATTTCGAGACCTCCCTGCTAAACAACCGAATTCCTGACACCACCCGCTTTCTGCCGGAATATGACTTCATTATCGTGGGCGCAGGAAGTGCTGGTTGTGTCTTGGCCAATCGGCTGAGTGAGATATCATCGGCGAGTGTTTTGCTTTTGGAGGCCGGGGATCAGGAGACCTTTATCAGCGATGTTCCACTGACAGCGGCCCTCACCCAAATGACTCGTTATAACTGGGGATACAAGGCCGAACCCACGGAAAACGCCTGTCAGGGGTTAAGGGGCGGCGTTTGCAACTGGCCCAAGGGGCGTGGCGTGGGTGGCACCAGTCTGATCAACTTTATGCTATACACTCGGGGTCATCGCAGGGATTACGATGATTGGGCGGCGGCCAATAACTCGGGATGGTCCTACGATGAGGTGCTACCCTATTTTCGAAAATCCGAAAGGATTGGCATTCCAGAACTCTATAAATCACCCTATCATGGTCGCAATGGAAACCTGGATGTGCAATATACGGACTACAGATCTCAGTTGCTAAAGGCCTTTCTAAAGTCTGGCAGGGAAATGGGCTATGATATAACAGATCCGAATGGAGAACACCTGATGGGATTTGGGAGATCCCAAGCCACCATTCGGAATGGCAGAAGGTGTAGTACCAGTAAAGCCTTCATACAGCCTGTAGTTCATCGGAAGAACCTGCACATCTCCATGAAGAGCTGGGTCACCAAGTTGATCATAGATCCTGTTACCAAAACTGCCACTGGAGTGGAGTTTGTAAAGCAACGTCAGCGTTTTACAGTTCGAGCTAGGAAGGAAGTGATTTTATCTGGCGGCACCATCGCCAGTCCCCAGATTTTAATGTTATCCGGAGTGGGCCCAAAGGAACATCTCGAAGAGCATAATATTACAGTGGTGCAGGATCTGGCAGTTGGTTACAACCTTCAAGACCACATAACCCTGAATGGTCTTGTATTTGTGGTCAATGATTCCACGGTAAATGATGCCCGTTTGCTGAATCCCTCGGATATCTTTAGGTACATCTTTGCGGGCCAGGGACCTTATACCATCCCAGGTGGAGCCGAGGCCTTTGGCTTTGTACGAACTCCCAGCTCCAGTTTTGGTAAGAATACATATGGAATTTAATATATTTGGAAACTCTTTTTAATGTATACTTTGATTTCCCCCACAGCTAAAGACTATCCTGATATGGAACTGGTTTTGGGCGCCGGTTCTCTGAGTGGCGATCGATTTGGCACCATGCGAAATTTGCTGGGCATCACCGATGAGTTCTACGACTACATGTTTGGGGATCTGCAGAACAAAGAAACCTTCGGCCTGGTTCCAGTGCTCCTACGTCCCAAAAGTCGAGGTAGAATATCGTTGCGCAGCCGAAATCCATTCCACTGGCCAAAAATGGAACCCAATTTTATGCAGCATCCCGACGATGTGAGGGCGATGATCGAAGGAGTCGAAATGGTAAAAATATACTTGAATATATATTTTAAATTTTAAGCTGCAGGGGAATAGTTGATATATATGCCATATTTTTCCAGATCCTGAAGCTGGCCCGATCCAAGCCCATGGTGAAGATGGGCACTCGTTTTCATGACCGTCCCTTTCCGGGTTGCGAGCACTTAAAGTTCGCCAGCGAGGAATACTGGAAGTGCTGTCTGCGAAGATATGGTTCCAGTTTGCAGCACCAATCGGGAACCTGCAAGATGGGTCCAGCCACAGATAATACATCAGTGGTAGATGCCCAACTGAGGGTCCATGGCATTCGGGGATTACGAGTGGTGGATGCTTCAGTGCTACCCAATGTTCCAGCTGGGCACACAAATGCAATTGTGATCATGGTGGCTGAAAAGGCCTCGGATATAATCAAAGATGCCTGGCGTATGCCAACCACTCCCTTAAATTCCTGAATCTATCCTTAAGCTCTTTATTTATTATTTAGTTATCACCAGTCATTAGGTTAAGTTCTCTTGTGATAGTTAAGATGAGTATTTCTTTGGCTTGAAAATGGGGTCTCTGTTTATTATATAATGAAATGAGTATTTATTTGATAGAAATGAATATTTATTAAAAGCAATGAGTTATTTTGTCAAACACAAAGGTTTTGTATAGTTTTCCTGCTTTAAAATAAATTATATTTTATGATCTTAAGCTGGATTCTTATTTGGTGGGCCATTGGATTTAGTTTCAAATTAATTTTAGTAAAGAAAAAAATATAATTTTAATTTATATTTGTTTTATCTTTGAAATGGCGCGCCAAACTTGTAAGCTTTCAAAAACCTTGTCCAAATATTTTTATACCAACTAGCTTTTTGTTGCTTGAAGCGTAAAGCTTTTTGCAACAGATAAGAGTCACTAAATTATCGAAAAATTGTAAGATATTTATCTAAGTAAAATCTTTAAATGTTCAATACTTAGAATTCTTTTAAATAATTATATAAAAATAAAATGTGTACGTCTTTAACGTTTATTTACACAAGATTTCTGTAATGGCACATTTAAGGTAAAAATGACAGTGGCGCCACTTCCCAAAACGTAAAAGATGGCGTGTTTTACGTTTCTTGAGCTTACGTTTCGTAACGGATTTCGTAGGGTAATAACAAATGTCTGCCGAAAACTCTAATATAATATTCTCAGACAAATGCTTGAATATCTGATGGCTAAGGCTAACCCTAATTTTAGCTTCTTCTGCTCCCAAAAATAAGCAGTGTCACGCACAGGCATATTGGAGTTCACATGGGACCCAGCTAGGGGCTAATACCATTGGCTTTGCGTGCTCCTTTGAGGATTGTTTTTAATGACCGCTCGCCGGGTAATTGCTGACCTCCCCCTTGGAAACGCAGGAACAGAGGAACGGAGACAAGGCTCCTGCCTGGCAACCATTGCGTTTCAGAGGTTCCTTAACCCGGCCATAAAGTTAACCCACTTTGTCTGGCCGCTTACGTATGAGCTTCCATGTGGAGCCATGGCCACGTGGCGTATGTGGAATATGCTTAATTAAACATTAAAAACGTGGGCGGGAGGCAATGTATTTAATTGTCCATTAAAACTAGAAGTTCTACTGTTAGAAATAATATTTTATTTGAATAATTTCAATGCCCATTAACCCTTTAACCTTTTTTGGTACATAATATAGACAGTATTTAAATGATTATTAATAAAGGGTTACCTGTTCAACAATTTTACCATTTTCAGAATAATTTTATTTGCATTTTGCATACCGTTCCTTTCCCTTTTGTTTGCCTTTGATTGAAAAATATTTCCTAATTAAATACTTTGGCAAACAAATATTTCAAGGGGCAGACATAGCTAATGCTTCACTGATTGGCATTGCTTAAATATTTAAGCCCACCTTAACAGAATGGAATTATAGAGCAGGCTGGTGTGGGCAAGATTTGGCGTATTTGCGGTGAAATATTTCTGCGGGTGCGGACCGGGATGTCTGTTGCTGCCATCGGCATCCCAAATTCAAATTACGGCGATGCCCGTGCCTGTGGTCATAGGTCAACAATGCGACATTTCGGAGCCCAGATTCCCAATGCCCGCTGTCAGCCACAAAGCAATCCAATTACGCCCTCGGTTCACTGCAATTTTCGAGCTAATTGATTTCGAAAATACTGGGGTCCATAATGAAATGGAACCCAAACGAGAAAAAGCGCAGGTGATTGGGTAATTGGTAAGTGGGTAAGGTATACAAATAAAAGCAGTTTAACAGGCTACGCCCTTTTAAATTTCCTATTTCACCTGAGGTCAATTGGGGTCTTTCAAAGCCAATGTTTCTTATCTGGTTTTCCAGCTGTTGCTGTTGCAAAAAACGAGGGTGAAACGGATGTCACTCGAGTGGAGCAACTTAAAGACAAGACTGCAAAATGTTGCACTTAAATGGAGAGGGGCAAGTGGGTGTGCTCCTTTCATTGATGCAAAGCAGCTCACTGGGTTTTTGCCCTATCTTCCGTGGCTGATCTAATTAGGAATCTTATGACGTGAGAAGGCGACTGAATGGGTCATAGAATGCCATGCTCCATGAACTGTGCAATCAGGGCAGATATAGTAGATATATACGGCTTTTTGCATGCAGCGAATCATTTTATTTGCCTCACATGCTTCGTTGGCCAGCAGATTGTTTAGTACTTCAGAGTATCTGAAATATTTCACCACTTAATTTAAATAATATTTAATGTTTCAAGGCAGTTTAATAAAATTCCAGTATAAATATTTCTTGGTTGAAGTTATTTAGAGGGTAGTCTAAAATCATCCACTTATTGAAATTGAAAACCCCTGAGACCGCGTTACATATTTTTATAAGAGAAACCCCCTGGCTAAACCATTCCTCTAATAGTTTTTAAAAGTTTGTTCGCCAACATTTTGTTTCTTTTTTTAGTTTATGCCCGGCTTATTTGCAAAAGTGCCTGAAGCCCTCGAATCCCTCGAAGAATGCAACGGAAACTGAGAGGAGTTGTAAAGTTGGCTAAAAAATTAAAAGCAGCCAGTGAGGTCCGAGGAACTGACCAGTCAAAGGCTTAATGAAAGGGGCTTAGTAGTTACTTTAAAAATGTTTCGCTTGGAAGAAGCAAACTTGTGCCAGTAGAAAACCAAGAAAAAATAGCAATGAAAAGTTGGCTAAAAGTTTCCTGCTTTTGTGTGCAAATATTTAGCACGGAAATTGCACTTGCAACAGGAGAAGTCCTTGAAGGGAAGCCCAAAGGAATCCTGGTGTGATAATTAAATGCGCCCAAGAAGCGGGAGACGAAACTTTTGTAACCGAGTTGCGGCATGTAGCGACTAATTGCATTAAAGTGTAATGAATGAAGAAGGACTTTTCAATTTGCCACTGCGACTAAATGGGTGAATTACTCCAAAGTGTTTCTGCATAACCAAATCACAGTGAAACCTACGTTTTATTATGATAAATGTGACGCGACGCAGTGAAACTTTGCACACTTTCGCAGAAAGTTTTCCCTGATTTGCCGGGAAAATTGGCCCAACATATGTTGGTGTCAATGCCTACGGAATTTTGGCGAGTTTACGAGGCCTTCTCAACTCGAAGTCATTTGGCAAAGTACACGTCAAGGCGGTAAGTGCTTGCAAAAATATGGCAGCCTAGGCCAGGGGGGCCTTATAATTTATGATGAGCCAATAAAAATAATTGAAAAACATTAATGCCATGCCGCCTGAGCCTGGCAGTGGTTAATGGCGAGCATTGAACCCCGACGAGCCCGGCCCACAAAAGTACAAAAGTGTCCTTGTCTGGCTGAAACAAAAGGCAGCCCGACTCCCCCATCGATTTCTTGGCCACGGGAATCGGAGTGAAATCGGAGCTGGCTCTAACCGACTACCGGAATATTCAAGTAATGGCTGGCAATAAAAAACGGAGCCATAAAAAGGCGAACGGAGGGGAGTGCCAGAAAAAGTCAAAGTTGAAGGAGGGAAAGCCTCCTCAAGACTCCACTCCGGAGCTGTGTGAAAGGTTGAAATAAATAAAATATTAGATGCGGAAACTGCTGTTCGTATTGATTTCGAATAAAGTCGGTGAAATGGTTAAACAAATTGTGTTGACAACAGAAGCGAGTATAGATAAAATATTAATTTTTTTAGCTCTTTAAAGTTAAAAGTGTATGAACAGCTCTCAAATTAATTTAAAACATTTAATTGGTTTATATTATAGACTGAACCCAAACCTCTCTTCGAAAACCATCTTACCCTTCTAGCTGTCAAAATGACAGGCACCTGACAGGAGGTCGAAAGGAATGACAAACATTCAAGTGATGCGTTGGCAGAAAGTTTTTGCCACTGACGGCCACATCAAAGAACATTCTGTTGGACAAAAACTTTGATTGGAAGTCCGCAAAAAACGATTGTTTGGCCAAGACAAGCTGGCTGATTGAGTGATTGGCATAAAGTTGGTTCTCTGCAATCCCCCTGTCAAAAACCTATTTTAAACTTTTAAAGTCGAAACCTTTTAGAACTCCTAAAAACAGCAATTAGCTAATTAAAATTGTGTGCTAATTTGGCAAAAAGGACACGCCACAGAATTTAATCTAATTTATGAACAAAAATCCTTTGAGGTCTTAACCCATTCTACGCAAAGCTTATAGCTTTTATCTTTTTGGCAACACGAAAAAGTAGCTTTTTAGGAATCACATTTAAGCCGCGTTGGCGAATTGCGGCATCGTATTCCAAGTACATAAATCAAAACCCAAAACATTTTGATATCCTTTGCGGATATTGTTTTGTTTTATTGTTGAGTTTTTTTAACGTAGCTAATGCAGCAACTCCGTTGAGTATTTTTGCCACCCTCGAAAAGGGATTTTCCGCAGACACGTACGCATATTTTCGGTACTCTTAATGGCAAAATTTATTAACTCCGTAAAAAATGTGCGTCTGGGATTACTTTTGAATTATTTATGACTGCCTTTGGTGGCCAATAAATGCCAAAGCCCAGTGAGCACATGATAATAAACATATGATTTGCTTGACGAGATTTTGGGTGATTAACAGCGCATCCAATCTCACTCGTTTGGCCAATTAGCGAGCATTTGACTGAATTAATGGCCGACATGTGGAAAATTGGTCAATATCATCGCCAGACTCTGGGGCAATCAGCCAATTTGCCATGCGTTTGGACGCTTTTCGCTCTGGGTGTGGACTTAATGCCATATAAATGGTAATTTCCTGTTTTAATTCGTCCCGGGTGTCCATATTTGCAATTTCGACTGTTGTCATTTGGACATGGGACATTTGAATAGAGATGTTGTTCGAAATAATTTATGGCTAATTTATGGTTATGGCTTGCTTTTGTTGGACAGTGTTGGGAGAACAGCCTGTTGCTTTCAAATAATTTTTGAAAACAAACCACATAATTAAATTTTAGAAAAGGGAGAATATTAACATTATTATTATATAATGTTTGGGTAAAATAAAAGAATAACAGAAAATGAATAAGTAAAAGTTGAGAGCCCTTTAAAGAGATATCTGTGTATAACTTTCGGATTTACCTTGATTAAATAAAAAGCCTTTAAATCTTTTAAATCCGAAATTCTCACCCCTTTTTTCAACTTCCGATTCCATCTGCTGACATGGGGGCCAAAGCTAATATTTACTTG